AAGATCGACATATATAGCCAACAACAAAAAATAATAATAATAATAAGTTAATGAATTTACTTTATCAAATGACTAAATTAACATTAAGTCTTTTTTTCTTTCATTTTTAATTAATTTTTTATAACTATTCTTGGAACAATGTCCTATTTTATCTTCGATAAATCAGCTTTAAATCCACTAATTCTAAACCAACATTATAAATTGCATGTAAGGATTCCAGGCAAACCCCGGAGGTTTCGACAGGCATCGAAAACGAGACCAGTCGAAATCCGTCGAAATCCATTGAAACCCCGTCGTTGAAACCCGTCGAAACCCATTGTTTCGGCTTTTGCAAAAATGAGATTTGAGTTTTACTCCGTAAACTTAATTGCATATATCTCATCAGCACTTACCAAAGAAGTCCAATAATGCGGATTGATCCTCCAAGAATCTCTTTCGTAATTTTAACGCTGGCAATAGTAATTTAGATCCTTTTTCGTCACAGGATTTGTGAAATGTCTTCTTACCAGACCCATCTCTTCTTCCGCAAACAAATAGTTAATAAGAAACATTACGATGATATTTACTAACTTGATTGAATTTCCAAGTAATGATCATGGAATTGAATGAATATGTTTATTAAAAGAATCATATTCAAGAAATTTAACATTAAATCGATCGTCAAAACATTTTTAATGGTTAGTATTTCTGGAAGTAATCTATGTGGTATAAATGGTTGAATAATTTTGAGAATTCATCCATTAATTTATCCCTAATTACAATAGATCTCCCAGAATGATCATTTTCAAGAATTTCTTGAATAATTGTGAAGTTATCAGCTTGAAGATCATTTCGAATATTTCGAATAGAAGCGAATTAATTTGCTAAACTGAGTCAAGTGAGCTATAATATTTTGAATAAGAATGAATTCTTTTTTAATTATTCTTTGTTGTCAAGAAGATAATCAAAATCGTAACATTTGTTGTAACATCATTGATGGTGAAATCAACTATATACTGTATGTGTCTAATAAATTGAATTAAATAATTCATAATTTACTTATTTCAAATAAATTATTCAAGGAGACAACTTAGAATAATATTCTTACTTTGAGATATTACCGAATATCTCAGCAAGGGTATTCAGTTTTTGTAAATTAATAACGCTATTTCTGTTCTTTGCCAATTTTTTTTGATAAAGGGTATGAAATAACGCGAGTGCATTTTAAATTAAAGAATAGTGCACTATTTAACGTAAAGTAAAGAATGATACGAATGATCTTCCTTTTGTATAAAGAGTTTTTTTTTGTTTTCGAAAATATTATTCTGGTTAGATCGAGAACAAAAAATTTGATCGTTCACTAGCTTTAGGTCGCAGCTATTTTCGAAATCTTGCGCCGATTTCTTTCCTTTAGGTTTTCTCCATTCCGATCGTTTCCACAGGTAGCAGGTGAGTTTGTTTTATTTTTTTATATTCTTTTTTGAATTTTTATTTTCTCGTCTCATCCAACGATATATGGAAAATCGGTATGGTACGAATATGCAGATCAGTGCGAAATTTTCTATCTATCCAACGATTTTTTTCTAAAAATCTTGCACCTCTTTTTATTTTCAGATCGGATAGTTTGCGCAAGTATCAGTTGAGACAACTTAATTTTATTTTTTTTTTTTTTTTTTTTTTTTTAGGGTTCGATCGCTTCATAGCGTACCATCGAAATATTAAATTTCATACGGGTTGGACTGTTTACTAACAATATTAATCAAAACTTTGAAATTGAATACAAGTTGACGATTATTAATATATAATATCAAGTTAATAATACTTTACTGCGGTACAAAGTTAAAACTGGACTGGTAATTACTAATTATTAAATTTAAGTGCAATCATGTGTTGTTTAAATTATTTATTTACAAATTACTTTTTGTCTTTTTGTCTTCATAAATAAAAATGAAATGTAGTTAAATAAAATTTATCAGTATTCATGTGAAATTTAATCGTTATATAAAGGCCATGTAATGTCATTCAAAATATTTCCGTCATTGTTCTTCTTACTTCACCAATTTTTCTTGAAAATTTCGATGTTACATAACCATAAGCTTTAGGACTAGAAATAAGATAACTCGAATTAGTTATGATTGATTAAAGATGGTCCCCATAATTATTTTCAAATTTCAATTGAGTTGCAACTTAATTGCGCCACAAGTTGCAACTCAATTGCGCCATTTTTTTCAATTGCGGTGACCATCTTTAGTTATGACTAATTTATCAAATATTCCTTGTAATCCAGAACCTCGAAATTCTTCATTATTTTCTTTTTTACATGATAAATACATTAATAATTATATCCAATGCTTTCATTGGTATCCAAGTATTTTATTTAAATGTATTATTAATAATTTAATGGCATCATGATATGTTGATGATTGCGCTTCCTTTCTGTCTGCATTTTGATGTATTATGATTAATTGCTATAAAAGTCTTAATTGATTGGTAATGTCATTTTGAAGGTTTAGGACAAAAGTCTTAATATTCCCTTGATATTATGTGTCTCTAATTCACTTGGTAGCATTGTTTGCCGCTTCAATGAGATTTTTAGCATAAGGTAAACGTGTAACTTTGCCCATTGATGGAAAGAAAGGTACGGGAATCTGATGTCTGATTAAAAAACTTCGTCACTTAATCTAAGAACCATTAGATTTCAGATTAATCGTTTTTTAATCATCAAATCATCTTTATGATTAAATTTGAAAATTGATTCAAGATTCAAGCATTCAATTCTTCATTCTAAAAGATTCGAGTTTAGATTCTATCAGTCTTGATGTATCTAAGAGTTGACGCCGGTCTATTGTCATGTTCTCACGTCCAACTAAGGAAATATTACGGCGTAATGAAATTAAAGTTTAGAAACATTTTATTGATTTCGTCTATGTTGCAATAAAAATTGAATAGATATTTACTGCACGATTCCAACCTTCAATGTTGTACATTAACTAATATGAACGTACGGTTTAGCATTTTCGTCAATTGCCGAAGTTTCTTGTACTGTATATGATAAGCAAATAGAAATTTACATTGATTGGATCCGCAGTATTTTTGATTTGTTTTTGCGTTCATTTCAAGTAAATTCATGAGAGATGATGAATCAGATTTCATTTTTACTTTTTTACTTTTTCCTACGTCTATACGGAATAGATGACTCGACTCGTAATCAGCCACACGAGGCATAAGATGCACATAAGTATCATGAGTTGGAGAGAATTTGAGTCTCGTATATTTATTTCTGTTGAATGTCGTACGAATTACTATTTCATAATAAACCGATTTTTCGCAATTCCAAAATAAATAAGCGTGAAAAAAAAATAAATTTAGACATCTTTTATAAATAAAAAAAGGGTATACTTATAAACATGGGAAAGTGAAAATAATAATTAATTGTGTCGTGTTACAAAATAATTTGATGATAAACAGGATTTTCTTTTGTCGTCTTTATCAAGATCTCATACAGATATTTAAATGAATTTCATCATTTTTTGTTCAAGAGTTAATAATAAATTCCTAATATTAATTCTTTGAGTTTTCAGTATTTGTGTGACATTTAATATAACAATTTATATGTTACCTTCCGTATTGGTGAAAGCACAAATTTAGAGCGGGTAAATCATTAATTTCTGTTTATGCAAACGATGAAAATTAAACTCCAACATACAACGTGAAAATTCTATTGTAGTTTTAATTTCGATCCCAGGATAAATTCGGTTCTTCAATGAAGAAAATTATTAAGTTAGTTTAAATTCAACGCGAACAGAGTATATTATTATCGCTCTTGATTCAACAGGATATTAAAATATTAAAGATTTTTCTTTATTGCGAAATAATTATTTTTTTTTAAAGTAATAAATATGTACTGTACATGAAATATATGTCTGTTTAATATTGTAGAAACAAAATTATGATATGGTAACGAAGCAGATTTCAAAGAAATAAATTAATATCGCCAAACTCATAAATAGATTTTATGTGAGTTCGATGTTTCATTATTATATACTGAAATACTTGACTTGTTTATTCAACATCACATAATATATATTGCCTTTATGATTTATAAGCATTATAACATTTCACTTATTTGTTAGCGTTAGTATAATATAATGTGTAAGTAATTTATTTATATATTTTTTTATTTATTTAAACTTACAATTATAAATATTAGAAATTTCGCATATCTTTGGCATATAAATTTATCAATAGAATGTATAATAATGTGGAACTAAAAGACAATAATGATAGCCTAGAAGAAAATATTCATAATTGTTATGAAATCAAAAAAAAAACTATTTAAATATAAATAATACTCTTAAAATGCATATAAATACGATAATGCCAAAATTTTAACATTATATTTATTATTATTATAGTTTAACCAAAGGTTAGATATATTTTACTATGAGCGCATAAATAAATATATATAAGTAAACGTTTTCTTTAAATATTTAGACCTAGTTATCGATTAGCGGACTCCATTATAAACAAGTACATACTAGAATATGTCACAACTTATAGTCGATAATTACTCACGTGATTCAGTCTATTTCAGCCACGATTAAAAATTGCCAATGATAAATACAATCATCATTTTTATTTAATACCGAATATAACGGTTATACAAAAAGGAAACCAATGATTTTGTTCACAACTCATCCTGACACTGTTATGCAAAATTTTTTATAAGAAAAATATTCTTCTTCAACTATTCTCGAGAGGTTGGAACTGATTAAGGTTAATCGATTAATTAATCGATTAATCGATTAATCTAACCGATTAATTTAACCGATTAATTAATCGATTAATTTAATCGGTTAAAAATGCAGATCATCTTAAAATAGTATTTCAATAAGTTTTTTAGTTAAATCAATTTCGTAAAAAGAAAAACTAGCTAAATTGATTTTAGTTTTAAATTTTTTTAAAAATAAACCTTTATTTTATATTACATACATCTTTGTAATCATTACAAAGAATTTAACATGGATGATAATGAATTGAATGATGATTTTTCTGAATATATTGATGTTGAAGATTCTTTATCCAGGTTATCAAAGGCTGCATCTTTCACTACAATTTCTAAAAGGTTATCATTATTGGAATCAACCAGTAGTCAATTAACAAAAAAATTAAAATTATCTTCTAAATCTGAGAAGAGCTTTGTGTAGAAGTATTTTGACAAAATTAATAATGGAAAAGTCCGATGTACAGTGGGGTATCAAAAGTTACCGGGCATTTGCGATGTCGATCATTTTTTGAAAAATTATATCGAATTTTTAAATTGAGATAACTTACGAACTATCG